GTTAATAACTGAAACCTTATTGTAAAGTGTTACTAAAGTTTTATATATTGTTCTGTGTATGTGTGTTTCACAGTCTTAATGGTTTGGATTAACCCTTTAATTGCCGTATCCCTTAAAACCAGACTGCCAGACGGTTACTGTAAATGCATGTGCCCACTGTGCACCGTTCTCCTGATGCCACCGGGATGGCATTTGCACTGACGGCTTGGGCCCGCCATCGCTGCTTACAGCTATATTTAAACATTATTTTTCATAGTAGCCTATGAGACCATGATCCGCACTCACAAAATAGTCTTCTTTTTAGCGTTTATTTTATATTAATCACCAATAGGATAAAACACCTCCGCCTGTGTTTTATAGCCTAAAATAAACGCTAAAAAGAAGAATAGAACATTTCCTGAATTAAAAAAAATAATAATAATAAAAATAAAACGATAGAGTTTCGAGAGAAGAAGGTAAAAAGCAATACAAAACCAATAATGTACCGGTTATGTTGTCATTCCTTTGCTCTCTAACTGAATGCAATGTTATAATAGGCCTAGTTATTTAATAATAACTTTAACAGTGAAGCATGCATCTAACTCTGGGGGAAAAAGCTTAGTATAATAAAATCACCTAAATAAGTCTGTGAATGAATGAATGAAATATGTTAAGAATGAACTTATTATTGTTATTATTATTTTACATTTAGGTTACATATGCATTTAGAAGAAGCTTTTATCCAAAACGACTTACAAAAGAGGAACAAATGACTCCAAAGTCAGTCACAATGCCAGGTTTATTATACAATAATAATCAAGTGCTAAGATTATCACAAAGATTTTGATGCACATCTTTCTTATTAAATCGTTGTATTCTACCTCGTACCGTTACAACTGATAGAGAATCACTTAAGACAATTTGCTGTAGGCCTATTTCACATAATAATATGCAATAAAACAATATACAATATGATTCGTTAACACGTAGGCTACCTAGGAGCTTGCGGCATGAATCCATGAGTAGGCTAGTTTACAAACCCGAGGGAACGGATTGCGAAAGCGTGCGCACGCTTTGCAACTTCAGGGATCTTATCTATTCACGAACAGCTTGTAACACTCCAAAGAGAAAGGAAAATTTAATCGCATCATATGACCCCTTTAAGACAATTTGCTGTAGGCCTATTTCACATAATAATATGCAATAAAACAATATACAATATGATTTGTTAACATGTAGGCTACCTAGAAGCTTGCTGCATGAATCCGTGAGTAGTTTACAAACCCGAGGGAACGGATTCCGAAAGCGTGCGCGCGGATTATGAATCTGTGGCTACGGGTTCAAAAACCGAAGGTACAGTTTACAAAATCTGAGCGCACGGATTGGAAATTCGTGAGTACGGTTTATTAATCCGTGGTCACGATTTGTTAAACCGAGGGAACAGTTTAAGAATTCGTGAGTACGGTTTATAAACTGAGGGGACGGATTGCAAAACCGTCGTCACGGATTGTTTTTTTTTTTCTCCTACAGAGAGCTGTACAGGAGCTTTTCTCCTTCGCGGGCTCATTGCGGTAAAGTTGGGTTTATGTTGGACATTCGCTGGGCAAATGAAGGGACTGTCTCAAAAGTGCATGAAAATGATAAAAAAAGATGCATTCCAAGATTCGAAAACATGCAAAGCATCATGCAAATAAAAGGTAGAGATGTGAATTAAGTGGAAAAACATTAATACATGATTTTAAGCTGTGAATGGGATAGTCACTATGAATTGTTACATTGTTATTACATTGTATTCCAACATTTTCTTTTAAGTGGTAGAAACTGGAGTTGATATGGCATCTGTAATATATTCAGTAACACTTCTAACACATCATACATGACTTGGATTTTGGAAATATGATTTTGTGTATTTTTGGTGAATTTTTCAAATATGTAAATCCATATAACTTCCGGGTCATGTGACCTGATGACGCCACACCAGCTGTAATATCTTCACACACACCTGACACACATCTTACACGACTTGGATTTTGGAAATATGATCTTGTCTATTTTTGGTGAATTTTTCAAATATGTAAATCCATATAACTTCCGGGTCATGTGACCTGATGACGTTTTCATGCCTCGTCAAGTCTCGGATTATTGTTTGGATGTTTGGATCACACTGTAAATAAACTGCACTTGGGTTCTTCACTACGCTCGCCTTCAGTGGATTGATTCGTTACAATATTAAAATTATAAATACATATATATTTAAAATATAACCATGTGTAAGCCTACTGCAATATAAAGTACATTAAAAACCCACTAAAAGTGTAATCATTTTGTT